AGAAGAAGAAGAAGAAGAAGAAGAAGAAGAAGAAGAAGAAGAAGAAGAAGAAGTAGAAGAAGATTGTGAATAGTATTATAATATGAATATGAATAATGATATGAATAATGATAATGTTGCCTTACCTTTTTCCTGTTATAGATTTGACATCTACCGTCCTTCTTTTTTGTGTTTGTTACTCTCTTGTAACACCTCTAACCTTCAGAACTTGTATGACCTAAATGTGTTGCAAGTGTCATAAAATGCATACTAAAAAATTAACAAAGGTCTCTGATGGTGAGGAGAGGTCGATATTTTATTTAACACAAAAGAAGAACGTGTTTAGTTATTCAGTATGTCATTTTTTTTCTGCCTCTTATATAAAATAAAAATTTTAAATATTAAATAAAAACCAACAACGTTGAAAAGTTTGTGTGTGTGTATTTCCTCAGGTGAACATCGTTGACCCAATGAAGCTTCGGGAAGAATTCTCCAACGTCCTTGCCGACCCCATCATAGCCACCAAGGTCAAGGCTACGTTTATCCTCTACAAAGACCTGTAAGTTTTGTGTGTTTTACTCTCCTTTCAACTCTGTACAGGGTACTGCAGGAGTTTTGTCATCATCATCATCATCATCATAAAGCGACCATAATGCACACTGCCCCACATGGGTGGTTGGCGGATGCTCTGGTGTGGTTTGCTCATTCTTTCCTATGAAACATCTGTCGTCCTGATCTCTCCTTTTTTTTGTGTTTGTTACTCTCTTGTAACACCTCTAATCTTCAGCGCTTATATGACCCAATTGTGTTGCAAGTGCTGCAAAACATTTACTAAAGTTAAAGCTAAAACTGAGAAAGCTTCACCAACACAACATCTATGCTGAATATGATAGGCTTATTCTTTCTTTCTCACGCTCCTTCTCTCAATCACTCTTTTTTCCCATCTTCCTCTCCTCTCCTTCAGTAAGAGGGTGCCACCTTAGGGTCCAACTTCTTTATCAGTGTGATCAATTTCTGTATAACACTGTGGGCCGGGAACACAAGACAACAAGATCAAGAAATATTAAAACGATTAATACAGAACTCATGTAAAATTTCAACATCTACCTTCCCCACACACATGACATCATGACATCATCAATGATCTGTCTGTGGGTGGTTGGTGGGTGCTCTGGTGTGGTTTGCTCCTTCTTTCCAATCAAACATCTCTCATCCTTATCTCTCCTTCTTTTTTTTAGAGTTTGTTACGCTCTTGTAACACCGCTAATCTTCAGCACTTATATAACCTTATTGTGTTGCAAGTACCCTGCGAACACAACACATCCCACTAAATGCCTACCTTAATAAGATCCACAAGGATACCCCACCCGACTGCCCGTTGTGCGACTGCCAGGATGAAACCGCACCGCACCACCTCTTTAACTGCCCTGCACTTTGCGACCTGCGTAGCACCTACCTACCTGCCTCCCCAGACATCGGAAATACTCTGTACAGCGACAAAGCACAGCTGATTAAAACCTGTAAATTCTTTGCCATATCGACAGACCGAAGGGCTAGAACCAAGTAAAGTGTTGCAAGTGCCGTAAAACATACTTTTAAACAAATGATCTGTCTCCCCCCCCCCCAGCTACGTGTACAACGAGGACGAGCCTGACAGTCAGCCGTGCCGTGTGGAGCAACAGGTCGGGAACGTCAACCGTGAGTCGGCCGTCACCTTCCAGTTCGCTCGACGTCTGAAGCCCAAGGCCGGTATGTGGGGTGTGTGGGGGTGTGGGGTGGGGGTGTGGGGTGTGTTTTGTTTTGACAGTACGCTAGAGGTCGTTGTTTGCGGGTGGTTAGCGGGTGCTCTATGGTGTGGTTTGCTCCTTCTTTCCTATCAAATATCTATAGTCTTAATTAATCTCTCCTGTTTCTTTTCTGTGTTTGTTACTCCCTTGTTACACCTCTAATTCTTTTACTCTCGTCATTTTCCTCTACTTCTTTTGCATGTTTGTCACTCTTTTGTGAACTGTTATTTCTGGGATGCCTTGATAGTCGAAGCAGACTTTGTACTGTTGAGGTTAGAGAGATGAGCAGAGTAAGCCTGATTCCACATTTGGACTTCTCTGTTGACATCCACCCCTTGGTGCTCATATGACCTTATGCAGTTGTGAGCGCCGTAAAACCTTACTAAAACAAAAAATCTTCTCCTTCATCTTTGTGTTTGTTACTCTCTTGTAACACCTTTAATCTGTGGCACTTATATGATCTAATTGTGTTGCAAGTGTCGTAAAAACTTTTACTAAAACTAAAGGAGTCTGCTTTCAATGTTTAGAATGTGTCAAGTAAAAGCTGGGATGATTTCTTAACTGACAAGTGGAATCAGGCGCTTGTCGTCTGCTGGGACATTTCAGTAACCCACTTTCAGCACTTTTTAAGGACCTGCGAGGCACTTAAATGACCAAAATTGTGTCGATAGTGCCGTAAAACATCTACCCAATCAATCCACAAAAAAAAAAGGACCTGCGAGCTGTTGGCATCGCTGACCGTTTATGACGTCACAGCGCCGGAAGAAAAAGAGAGAGAATCAGGGGTTTGTCGTCAATTTTGGGGCTATGGAGTTATTGGTATCATCTAAAAGCTTGTTCACTTCTTTTGCTTTCGGTGAAAAAATATTCTTTTATCTTGAATAGAAATCAAGATATTTATGATTGAGGTAGGTGGGGTCGCCTGGTTTCAGAGGTAAAATTAGTGAGAAATTGTCCACCAAAGTCTGGTGACTTCCATAGCTGAAGAGTCCTTGGAAACTACAAATTAAAATTTGTTTTGCCTTTAGTCAATGTTTTTCCATAAAACCCACACTTAAAAGTGTTTTTGAATGGACGTACAAGGTGCTGAACCAAAAACAAAAATCCCCAAAAAATGTCTAACCTGGCCGAAAAATACTGATTTCTCCGATTTCAATATTTTGATGAACACCTGATTTCACCATAGTTTCTCACATATATTCTTGTCCAGATAAGGCAACAGAGAAACAGACAGAGGGAGCTACCGCTAGTGAAGCCACGGGACCTGCCGAAGCTACCACCAGCGAAGCTACGGGACCTGCCGAGGACGTCCCCAGCGCAAGCGGGAGTGCCGAGATGCCACAGAGTGACCTCCCCAGCGCGAGCGGGAGTGCGGAGATGCTGCCTCGGACTGACCTCCCCTTCCAGCTGCAGATCGAGTACACGGACACAGAGGGGAACCAGGCTCTGCGAGTCATCACCCGCTCCATGCCTGTCACGTCGGAGAGGACCCAGGCGGAGCGACGTACGTGTGTTGTTGTTGTTGTTGTTTTTGTTGGTGTTGGTGTTGGTGTTGGTGTTGTTGGTGTTGTTGTTGTTGTTGGTGTTGTTGTTGTTGCTGTTGTTGTTGTTGTTGTTGTTGTCGTCGTCGTTGTCATCGTTGTTGTTGTTGTTGTTGCTGTTGTTGTGTTGTTGCTGTTGCTGTTGTTGTTATTGGTGTTGTTGCTGTTGTTGTTGCTGTTGTTGGTGTTGTTGTTGTTGGTGTTGGTGTTGTTGTAGTTGATGTTGTTTTTGTTGTTGTTGTTGGTGTTGGTTTTGTTGTTGGTGTTGTTGTTGTTGCTGTTGTTGTTGTTGCTGTTGTTGTTGTTGCTGTTGTCGTTGTTTTCAAATCCCTTTAGCTGGGAGCATTTCGCTCTTGGCAGTGTGGGTGGTTGGCGGGTGCTCTGGTGTGGTTTGCTCCTTCTTTCCTATAACAAACCTGTCGTCCTTATCCCTCCTCCTTCTCTCTTGTGACACTTCTAATTTTCAGCACTTTTATGATCTTATTGTGTTTGCAAGTGCCGTAGCACTCTTACTAAAACTAAAACTAACTCTTGGCAGCGCAGTTTTCCTCCCTCAAGAAACCACATGTCCTTGTCATCTGGTCAACGCCAGAGTAGAGCAGGCTTTGTAAGTCTGTAGGTGTGTGTAGGAGCCTGTGTCGAAGAACTGCCAGGATTGGGCAGTGAAGGAGAAGATGTTCAACTGTCTCCTCGTGGTAGTCACTGGGTCTGTTATGGGGTTCCCACATGGGGTTAATTCTGTTTATGTGCTTGTTGGTGTGTAAGTGTCCTGTGCAGGTTTGGCTCTACATAAGAAACTCGAAGGGTCTTTAGGGACATACGTGTGTAAAAATGATAACCTCACGCTCGTTCGTGAGGCGTGCTGACAAAATGAATTACTTGTCGTATTTGTCCTATCTCAATTTGAATTACTTTTCGGGGGGCTCTTGTGGTCTAGAGGTCGCGAAAGTAAGCCTTATTCCCCGTTTGGACTTCTCTGTTGACATCCACCCCTAGGCGCTCATATGACCCTATGCAGTTGCGAGCATGGGTGGTTGGCGGGTGCTCTGGTGTGGTTTGCTCCTTCTTTCCTATCAAAGATCAGTCGCCCTATCTCCCCTCCTTTTTTTTGGGTGTATGTTACTCTCTTGTAACACATAATCTATTCTTGGGCACTTATATGACCTTATTGTGTTGCAAGTGCTGTAAAACGTTTATTAAAACTAAAACAGTTGCGAGCGCCGTACAACCTTACTAAAACAGCACCCATACACATACGTCTTTCTCTTTCCCTTCCAATTTCAGACATGAACATGGAAGTGCTGGGTGTGCACGCTGCCAAAACAGCAGCTGACATGGCCCTGAAGGGGAAGTACTCACGCTCTCGTGGCATCTCTCTGATGAATCAACGCTTGGCTTGGAGACATAGGTAAGTCACTCTGTGTCTCTCTCTGTCTCTTTGTCACTCACTCTATCTATGGCTCTCATTCTCTCTGTGTTTCTCTCTGTCTCTTTGTCACTCACTCTATCTATGGCTCTCATTCTCTCTGTGTCTCTCTCTGTCTCTTTGTCACTCTCTCTATCTATGGCTCTCATTCTCTCTTCCTCTCTCATTCTCTCTGTGTCTCTCTCTCTATCTATGGCTCTCATTCTCTCTGTGTCTCTCTCTGTCTCTTTGTCACTCACTCTATCTATGGTTCTCCTCTCTTCCTCTCTCATTCTCTCTGTGTCTCGGTCTGTGTCTCTCTCTCTCTGTTTGTGTCTCTGTCTCTCTCTGACTCTCTCTCTATCTTTCTCTTTCTCACTCTCTCTCTGTGTTTCTGTCTCTCTCTGACTCTCTCTCTGTCTTTCTCTTTCTCACTCTCTCTCTGTGTGTTTCTCTCTGTCTCTCTCTCTGTCTCTTTGTCACTCACTCTATCTATGGCTCTCATTCTCTCTGTGTCTCTCTCTGTCACTTTGTCACTCACTCTATCTATGGCTCTCCTTCTCTCTGTGCCTCTCTCTGTCTCTTTGTCACTCACTGTATCTATGGCTCTCATTATCTCTGTGTCTCTCTCTGTCTCTTTATCACTCGCTCTATCTATGACTCTCATTCTCTCTGTGTCTCTCTCTGTCTCTTTGTCACTCACTCTATCTATGGCTCTCATTCTCTCTTCCTCTCTCATTCTCTCTGTGTCTCGGTCTGTCTCTCTCTCTCTCTGTTTATGTCTCTGTCTCTGTCTCTCTCTGACTCTCTCTCTGTCTTTCTCTTTCTCACTCTCTCTCTGTCTTTCTGTCTCTCTCTCTGTCTTTCTCTTTCTCACTCTCTCTCTCTGTTTCTCTGTCTCTGTCTGTCTCTCTCTATCTATGGCTCTCCTTCTCTCCCTCCCTCTCTCTCTCTCTCTCTCTCTCTCTCTCTCTCTCTCTCTCTCTCTCTCTCTCTCTCTCTCTCTCTCTCTCTCTGTCTCTCTGTATGTGTGTGTGTATATGCTTGTGTGTTCGCACACTTTTTAATATATGTTTTACACTGTATATGTGAATACGTGTTTTTGCATATTTGGCGTATTATGCATGCATGTGGAATCTTAGTGCATTTGTGTATGAGTTTGTGTGGTATTGTTGTGTGATATTTACTAAAACTCAAAAAACTCCTCCACCCCCTCCTTTCCCTCCTTCCCCTCCCTCTCCCCACCCGTATCCCCCAATCCCCTCCACCTGCAATCTTCCCTGTCCCCTCCACCTCCTATTCCCCCTCCACCCACACCCCCTTCCCTCCACACCCC